GATTTAAGAAAGAATTACTAAATTATTATACCCTAAGTCATATCTATCACCAATTACTTTTAGGTTGAGTTTATTTCAAATTTCAATTCTTTAGAATAGAAATGCAAATCTAGTAAACATTTAAATAAAAGAAATATTCCGATTTCAGGTCAATTCTAAATTAAGTTCAAGTTAGGTGCTTTTATGATTCATTTAATGACAAGTATGAATATAAATCCATCATTGTAGAATCAAAGATATGAATTGATTCAATAAAATTATGCATCAAATATATGATAAGAATGAAATAGAGTACAATTGAATGCTACATAATATGTTTTCAACAATAAGATAAATGAAGAAACTATTACTATTTTAGTTATAGTGCAATCGAACTTCAAATTACCATACACGCAAGATCTTAATAAATGGTTTTCTCTTTTTCTTTTTCTTTTTTTTTACATGGCGAGAAGCTCTATTTTTATTTTTGCTAGAGACACATACAACCTAATCAGAAATAAAGAGTCCTTAGCTATAAAAAATTCATTTACTAGAAGATCTAAATAAAAACTATATTTGACTACTGTCTGTGATACTTTAGGTTTAAGTATTAATCAAAATATCTGATTTTAATTATTGTCCTAGATCCTCGACCTATTAAAATTCGCCTAAAAGCAAAAAGTTTCAATATTAAGAAGGCAAACTTAAACTCACAATAAAGTAGAAGAGAACATAGAATATATAAATAAAATCAAATGCATACAACATAATAAAGTGCAAAATACTAGAGTTTGTGTAACATTTGCCATTAATCTGGGAGATAAGATCTTGACACTGTAAAATCACTAAGCAAGATTTGTTTTGATTTTACGTTGAAACTATCAACTTTTAAATAAATAAAAAATTAAATCTTAATCGTAATTGGATTCATAAGTAAAGTTACACCTAAATTGTAATATATTGATAATAACTTATTAGGTAAAAGTTTTTCTTCCTAAGGACTTGTGGAGAGGATTGAGGTTTTTTATTATTTAGTAATTTTTTAAGTAATTATTTGCTATCGAGTTAAAGTTTGTGTTGATTTTTTTTTGTTAGTTACAATGATGTAATAATCAAGTGGGTTTGATCAAATGATGGTCAAGCATTAAGTGTATTTTACATTTAAAGGTTTGGAAGATATGTGAACGTATAAAATTTGTCATTAAATCCATAAAGCCTATACAAGGTTAATATTTGAACAATAACATGAATCTCATGAAGACCAAGTGGAGGAGTTATGTAAACAAGCGAATAGATTATAAAGGTTTGAAAAGGATGGCGTGGCGTCTATCAATGTAAGCTCGTCAACTAAACTTTGTCTATTACAGGTGGCCATAATCAAATAGGTTCTAATAGGAATTTAAAACCGATTTTCTAAATGCGTTACACATAAAGGTAAAAGATTGACTAATAATTTAATTTGCTAATATCAAGCATGTTTTACAAGATTTCTAAAAAGATGCAAAGAAGAGATTACAAAATTAATGGGTAAGGAAGTATGGGATGACATATTAACAAATCCTGTTGCAATCAAAATATCTTGCGTAATATGCTTCTAAGCTAAGCAATTATGACCTAATAGCATTTCATACATATACCACTGACTCTCCAAAAATTAAACTTCAAATTGTTGCTATTGAGTTACTTGAATCCTTATATAAATCTATATTTTTACTTATTATTATTATTGTTATTATTTTTATATAAATAAAATATTATGTGAGAAGGTAGATGGCAATAGCTCGAGGTATTAACTGATATAACTAAGCAAATCATAACTCAAGAGAAAACTTGTGAATTATGCTCGATAGGTAGGATAATTGGAGGATGTGAGCTTCAGTTTTATTTAGATAACAAAATTGATAAAGAGTGTATTTTGTATAAAAGATTTGTTGCTGAGAAATATCATAAGAGTCTTTGTATGAGATATTGAAGAAATATAATTTTCAACTATAATAAAAAAGAAAGAATTGATCAAAATAAGACAAATCTTGATATCATATTGTGATTTGAAATTTTTTTATCAATTAACATGTCTAAATAGATGTAAATTTAGATACGTTAATGTTGCATCTAAGTATAAAAATTATAAAAACATGAATATTTGAATTCAAATCTTGTTTTATACTCTCTTCTCACCTAGATGGTCAATATACACCAATGTTAGTTTACTACATATCTTGGTACTATAAAAGAATGCAAATAGATTACTGAAGAAGATCATTATTGAATTTTATTTGATATATCATTACTCATTTTAAAATAGGTAAGAAGCTTGGTCTTTTTTGTTTTTGGTTCGATGCTTTTATAGAACTCTTTCCTTAATGAAAGCTTTCTTTTTCTTTTTAAGATGAGAAGTTAAATCTAAATCCTATTTAATATCATTCTTAAAACGATATACAAAATGTATTATGATAATTGTAATCAATTATGAGAATCAGTAAAATGGAAAATTCTTTCTTCTTGTGGACTTATGGAGAGCACTGAGATATTTTGTTATTCAAATAAGTTTTTAGCTTTCGTATGTTATCATGAACTCCAAAATAATAATCAGAATTTTCTACTAACAATAATGTATAATGAGTGATTTTGTTCATATGATGGTCGAAAACTATTATATATATTTCAATTGGAAGCTAAGGATTTGTTAAATTACAAAATTGATTTTGAGTCCATAAATTGGATAGAAGATTAATATTTGAATTAATCTTCGTCAATAACACGACTACATGAAGATCAAGTGGAACAACCACATGAATAATCAGAAGAATTACATAGGTTAGAAAAAGATGGCTAACGTTGCATTGCTGAATGCGAGCTCCTCAATCATAACCCTCACATGTTGTAGGTACTCCACAATCAAATAATTGTCATGGAAACCAAAAGCTTCTTCTTCATATGCATATCGCAAGAAGGTGAATGATTGACAAATAACTAAATGTCTAACTCCAACCATGCTTCACATGCCATATGAGAGGATGTTTGGCATGAGAAATTTCATAATCAAAATATTCTTCTGCCTAAGCCCGTCACCAGAACTCCAACAACTTTTCATGTTTAGATTATTGTTAATTAATAACTTGGACCTTATACAAAATTCACCACGAGTTGCTTAGTATATACTTGGAATATCGTATGAGATGTTCAAAGAAGACAATGGGTGTCACTAGTGGTATATTTTACAGAGATAACCACAAAGAAGATTTCTGAATTATGTTTGGAATATGATAACTAGAGTATATGAGCAGCACTAGTATTTAAGTGATTGAGTTAGTGATGAGGAGAGTATCAAAATTGTGTAAAAGATTCTTGTTGATGGTCGATTTAAAAATTAATGAATGAGATTGTGAAGTAATAGAATCTTCAACTATAATAAGAATACAACTCCTTAGAGTCAAAAACTAATGGTACAAGAATGTTTTGTACTCAAACTACTTGCTTTCAAGGAAGGTAGTATCCGACTTGGACTTTCATATATAGTATCTTAATCTCCATTATTCAAATTCTTAACATCCTCATCAATGACATATATCCTAACACATCGCGTTAGCAACTTCTGATCCAAATAGTTATTCATAAAGTTCACAACTTCAAGATCACCTCAATCTAAAATTACCAAATTGATACGTGCTTTGATATAATTCCTAATACCTTGGTAAAAAACTAACGATTTAATAATTTTTTAAACCTATACTACTAGTTTTCAAACGCTAAAATTCAAAGTCAGTAATAATATATTACTCAAACTCTAATATGAATGACAATAATTATATATATATATATATATATATATATATTAATATGGGAAGAAAAAGTATTACAAAAACGAGAAGGGTATAAACTCTAATACCAACTAGATATATGAAATGTTTAAAGAAATGACAGTAGCTCATAAGCATATCAAATGGTAATATCTATATAAAAGGAAACGCATAGAGGCCATACATGTTATGTATTTCTATATACATCTATATATATATATATATGCATGTTTTAGGTAATTATGAAGGAGCAAATTAATGAGTGATCGTTAGATGTATAGTTTTTTACCTCTTCCAAAAGCAATCAACTTGGGAATAATATACCAGGCAATGATACCAATCAGAAGTATCCCACAAACTGTTGGTACCACGATAGCGATCACTTTCTTCCACTTTACCAGCTCCCGCTTCCCATGATCTGCATGGCCACCTCCAACAATGAAAATAATCATTATAACTACATATTTATTATACGATTGGTACTGTAAATTAATTTAAGCTCTTCGTCACATATTAATTACTATAACGGTAAAAATTCTTTTTACTTTAATATTTTTTAATAAATTAAATAATGAATACACATAAGACATGCACAATGTACTATTCAAACTCACGCCCTCATAAAAAAAAAGATAAAATTACTCGGTATTCAGTTAATAAATGATTAATTATAATTTAATATTAATGTTCTTGCACGTAGTATCTTCATTTTTTATTGAAATCTTAATATTTTTTTTAATCTCCAAATACAAAATTAATGCTTCGTAATTATATTGTTAATTTTTATAATTTCCTTATTATAAAGATTTCTCCAATATTTTTCCAAATTATTCTACTCTATCCTAATATAAATCTAACATGATCTAATTTTTGATTCTTCAACTATGATATATTTATTATGCAAAATCCTACTGGTTATAATAATATCCAAATCTTAATTAAACATTTCATCGGATTTATCCTATAATTATAATACTATGAAAACTGGTTTTCATAAGTAGAATTTAGCTCCCAATTATAAGTTAGACTAACATTTTAAGAATATACTGAAAAAACTGATTGAATAGTAACTAGTCTTATAAAATTAGAAGGTCAGCATTTTACAGTCCAAAAAAAAAAAAAATTAGATCAGATAAACCTTCTTAATCTGGATAAGAACCAGAGTAATTAATATTTAATATAATATTCAGTTTATAGACTAAGGATCAAGAAAATTGGACTGAAATTTGAAAAATATATTTTAGTTTTAGTTTTTGTTTTATCTTTTATCAATCTTTTAATCAATGAAAAACTGAATGTACAGTTCTATATAATATATACTTACATATATTTATATATACATGCAATCGTATACTATATATTATAATACATATATGGTAAGGGTAATCAAGAAGTTTGTACCTAGTTGCTGTTTAGCCATTCTGACAAAGATATCATGGCCACCGAGAGGGTAATTCCTCAAATCGAAAAGATCACCAGCCCAGAAAACACATTCATTCCCCTTCCCACCAACATCAACTTCCGCATACCCTGTGCACGAGCAATTCTTCAGACATGCCTCCTGGCACCCTTCTTCTTCATCCTCCATTCTCATCATCCTCCCCTTATCCGGCAACTTCACGTTGCCAACCTTCACAAACCAATCTCCCTCCCCACACCCCTTCACTTCCCATTTCCTCTCGCACCCGTTTGATTTCTCTTCAAATCCATCCAAACACCGGCACTCCGGTTCGCCATTGTCGGTAATGTAGCAGTTCTTGTTGGGACCGCACCGTGAATACTCGTCGCAGGAATCGTTTGGAAGACTCATAATTGTTTCCCATTTCTTGATTTGTTTGCTCCATTTGAGATACTGAATTTGGCCGTGTGGGTTTATTAGAAACATCAAATGGGTAGACTTGAACAAAAAGTAGACCTCTAAATGATTGTTGGAAACAAAGACTGGCTGGAAGATTGGGTTAGAGTAGTCGGAAAAATTGAAACTTTTTTCATCCCAAAGTCCCCAACGAGAGATAATATCAGACCCATTTCTCAAAACCAGCTCGCCTGTTTCCGGCTGTTCCAGGCCAAAACTGTAGTCTCCGACCGACGGATCATCATCAGATTTCCAAGCTGTAATTCTCCGTTGCAGACCCGTCTTGAGTTTCATTCCAGAGAGAAATACATTTGTGGGATGATCGAAACTTTCCCATAAGTATAACCCATCAGGGTCATCTCCGTTTTTGTCAATCAAAACCAGATTTCCAGAATCTAGAAGCTGCAAAGACGGACTGATTGCTTTCCTTTTTGGGTTTATAAACCAGATTATAGAATCCTGAACCTGATTACCACAGCCATTATAAAGTAAAACTCTACTATCTTTTTTCACCACCAAGGTTCCGATCATACCAGTAATGGGATTGTTTCTGTTGGCAATCCATATGGGTTTTGGAGAACGATCAAGATTCTTGAACCAGATACCTAGATATGTAAAATTATTGCTCGAGTTCTTCGTCGTGAAGAATCCAAATTCAAACACTTGGCTGGGAGACACCAAACTGTTGCCGAAAGAGAGAGAATGAGGTGCAGATAACACATCTGTTATTTCCATTGCTAGCGAGCTTGGTTTCATGGAAGCCACGAGAATGCAGAAGAGAAGGAGAAAGAAAACGAAGGAAACCATTTTTTTTTTTAAAAAAAAAAATTCACTGGTGAAAGAGAGAATATTAAAAGGGTCTGTTTGATTGAGGAACTAGAAATGATCTTCAATGGTAAATCCTAAGTTGACTACCTTATTTGCTCTGGTCAGTAGTAACCTCTAGTTTTCATTTTCAATAAATTAAATATAATTAATTAGATACTAGATATTATCATTAGGAAGTTATATTATCATTAATTATATTATAATTAATAAATTTTAAAAATCTGGTATTATTTTTGGTAAGTAATTTGACTTAATTTGGGGATATATATATATATATATCATGAGACTGATATATGATTCTTACTGAGTAGCTTCGGTTTTTGCTACTACAAAATCTCTTCAAATCCTCATGAGATGTGTCCGACACATTCTATGCCAAATGTTTATTACATAATAATTTCACTTTAACTTGCAAGATATTCAAAAACTTTTAATTTTTACAAAGCAATAAAGTTTGTATTTTTCTACAAAAAATTATTAAATAAAATAAGATAATTCTTTCTTTAGTTTGGAGCACAGCATAAGGGCTGTATACATTTGAGATAATGTACATAGAGACATTTCAAAGCTATACATATATATGTGTGTGTGTGTGTGTGTGTGTTGAGATTTACAAATAATGAATCATCAATGATCTAATTCTTTAATTTGGTTATCTCGCATTTAGTTCTGTGACTGTGACTTGGTTGACGCTACACATTTTGTCACAGTTATTACTTGAAGATGAGTTAGTTTCCGCAGGGCTTCTTCCAAGAATAAAACCAGGAGTTTTAGGATTTGCCATTGTTGGATTTTCACTACTCAGCATCAAAACCACAGACGCCATTGTTGGTCTATCTTCTGCTCGTTCTTGCACGCATAAAAGCCCTACTTGTATGCATCGAAGAACTTCATTTATAGAGTACGAATCTTCTCCCATAGACGAGTCGATGATTTCCAATCCCTTCCCTTCTCTCCAGAGCTCCCATATCTGCACCAACCCACGATGAGGATTTGAATTATCTTCAAAAATCGTGAGTTTTGTATATTTGAACTAAATGAAAAATGTGTTAATACTTACTTGTCCAAGAAGATTGAGTTCTTTGTCTGGCTGATAAAATCCCCAGTTCCTTTTGCCACTCACAATTTCTAAAACGAGCACGCCAAAACTATAAATATCGGATTTTGTCGAGAAAATTCCATTTATTGTATACTCAGGAGACATGTAACCACTGCATTTCACAACAAAAATAATAATAATAATAAGAAGAAAATCAAGAATATGAAGAGATCAGAGTTTAAAAGAGAAAATTTGTTATATTGAACTCACTACGTTCCAACTATCCTTTGAGTTCTTCCTTCTGTTTGATCTCCTCCAAATATTCGAGCCATCCCAAAGTCAGATATTTTTGGATTCATATCTCGATCAAGCAATATGTTGCTAGCTTTCATATCCCTGTGGATAATTCTAAACCTAGAGTCTTGGTGAAGGTATAATAATCCTCGTGCAATCCCACAAATGATGTTGTAGCGTTGTTGCCAATTTAGCAAAGAACTTCTTGCTTTATCTACAAAAATTTCTCAACTCAGCATGAAAATTCATACGATTTAAACTAATTTTCAAGTAAAATTTTGAATCAATCACTCACTGAACAAAATCGAATCAAGGCTTCTGTTTTCCATATATTCATAAATCAGCATCCTCTCATCCGTCTCGATGCAGCAACCGAGAAGTCGGACAAGATTCCTATGTTGCAGCCTTGCAATTAATCTAACCTCATTCTTGAACTCTTCACTCCCTTGTCCAGATTTTTTTGAGAGTCTCTTCACAGCTATTTCTTGGCCTTCAATCAATTTCCCCTGACATTATCACATACATAATTTTCTCAGTCGAGTTTTGAGATAAATTTGAAAATCTTAATAAAATCGAGTCCTTTTTAATTACAGATAACTTAATCTATTACCTTGTAAACACAACCGAAACCACCTCGTCCAAGTTTATTAACGTCGGAGAAGTTGTCGGTAGCCATTTGTAAAGTATTGAAATCAATTAATGGGAGTTCTAGCTCATCTTCGTTACTCTCACTAGTCGAGTACTCTTTCTTATTTGCAATCACCATTTCATTTATCAGACAATCTTCGCTTCTTTCAAGTGTACCTACTTTAAAAACTATAATATATACACATATTTAAAGAACAAAAAAATAAATATAACGTATGTATATTTATCATTATATATATAAAAAAAAAAAACTTATATTACCTTTTGTTTTTGTCTTTGCTAATTTCCTTTTGTTTAATACCTTCTTCCTCTTCCATAGGAACCAGGTAACTACACCCACCAATAAAATGCCAACTCCAACAACGATGCCTATAATTAGGTCACGAGCATACCCATCATCACCTGCAAATTAAGAATATATATATATATATATATATTTAAACTATAATATGATAAGGGTTTTACATAAAATGTTGAAATTGAATTCATATCAAATTTATAATAATACATTTCAAATTTTATAAATTTCAATAAATTTTCAAGTTATGAATCCAAATTAGTTAATTTTTTTTTTAAAAAAATCATAGTTGATACAATTTACATATTCATTTACAAAGAAATTGAACATGATTTCTGAATTTATTAAATACATAACCTAAGTATTTTCAATTATAACTACGAAAGTCATGAAATTCGATGCTAGAAAGTGACATTATTAATGTACATGGATTAAATGACTTAGTCATCTCTTGACTTCCTAAAGTTAGAAGTCAAACCAAGCAATTTAATGTGGTCTTCTAGTGTAACATATTATATAACCATTAAATATTTGCAATTTGAATTCGTGCGTACCATACACTAGATTTATATATAATAATCAAATACATAAATTTTAAATTACCACGGCATAATCTTGTATGTGTTTGTCGATCGTCATTAAATTAAAAATTTCACATTCTAACATGATCAAAATTTTTGTGTTATTTGAAAATTATATATTTTTGAACTTTATTGAGAATATATAACTTATTGTTTAGTGGGTGTGTTAGTAGTTAACCGGTGAATGATCTATAATATTCGATTTAATAGAACTGAGAATTTAATTCACTAATGTATTGTTATTATTTTGTTACGATTAGATTAGATTAGTTTCAACGTATTAATTAATTTTTATTGTTATTTTTTAATTTAATTATTAAATTATTTTTTAAAATAATAGAAAATAAAAAATAATTTTTATGAACTATTTTTTCAAACTTTTCAACTATTTTAATTTTTTTTATTAAAAAATAAAATGAAACTAAATATTTAAATAAATAAATAAAAATTGAACGACTATATATAAAAAAAATATATTAAAAATCAAATTGTAATAATTTACCACAATTTTTTACCGAGATGAATTCGGCATTATAATAATTTTTAATGCAGATTATGCATTTTTAAATATAGATATAAATTTTTTGGATATTTTCAGTTTAATTAATTAATTAATTAATTTTCTCAATTTTACTATTAGCAATAATGGAGGGAGTAAACTTACCGATGTCAGAAGCGGCCAATCTGACAAACAGATCCTGTCCGCGATCCGCATACTCTCTCGTGTCAAGAAGCTCACCGCTCCACATCACACAACCCGACGCACCGCCATTACTGATATCCGAGCTAGAAAAAGCCACGCAAGAACAATTCTTCAAACACTCTTTCTCGCATTCCTTAATCCCCATTTCTCTCTTCACAACCGCCTTTCCACTCTCCGGCAACTTCATGTTCTTCACATGCAAAAACTTATCACTCAAGCACTCCAACTCCGTTTCCCTCACGCACCCACCCGACCCGTCTCGCAGCTTCCATGTCTCTGGATTCCTCGGCCTGAACCCTCTAAAACACTTACACACCGGCGATGAATTCGGATTGCAAATCCCAAATGGACCGCACTCGCGGTATTTGTCGCACTGGTCTTTGGGTGCGAACCAGAACAAGCGCCATGCTTGTATGTTTTCGATCCATGTGTATCTCTCGAGATTCCCATATGGGTTCACGACTAATCTGGAGTGAAGTGATTTATTGACCAGAGTGTAAGAGTAGAAGATCTTGTTGTCTGTTGAGACGAACTTGAAGGCTATTTGACTCTGAGGATTCATTTCTGGTACTCCACTAAACCTCAGTCCATTCCACGGCCCGCTTCTGTACGTTCTTTTCTGTTCGTTGGAGATGAAAAATTCCGGGAACCCATGGAAATTTAACTTGTAAGTATAATCTCCCGAAGATGGGTCATCTGTGTGTTTCCATGACGTTAGTCCGTGAAACCCAGAATCAAGATCCCACCCTAGTTTCATTTCTGGTAATAAAGTATCAGTTGGAAAATCGAAGCTTTGCCATAGAAACTCTTCTGGGTCATCATTGTTTTCTTCCCTAAGAACGAGATTACCATTGTCGAGAAGCTCTACAAGAAGAGTTTTATCATCAAGTTGTCCGTCAACCTTGGTCTGGTTTGACGACCAGACAAGGGCCTGTTCTTGATCGAGAAGAACGATGCAGTTATTAGATATGGTGAGCGCCGCGGCTGATGGGTTTGTGGTGAGTGGATTGTCTCGGTTAGCAACCCAGACGATTGTTCTTTGAGGGATGTTCCTGTACCAGATTCCCACGTACCATAATTCTCCTGGAAGTGTGAAGAAACCCAGCTCGAAAACATCTCCAGCAGAGATTAACGTCTGGTTTGTGGTGAGAGGTTGGTGGGAGGTTAGGGTTTTGAGGGAGATGGAAAGTGATGGGAAGAATATGAACAGAGAGAAGAATATGAAGAAGAAGGTGCAACAATGGTGGTAGTGGTGACTCATCGTCTCTGTTTTATTATTGTGTGAGGTTTGGTTCATGTTGACGACATTTGGTATGGTTTGATAGGAGATTGAAGGTTGCTCTTGTTATTTATTTTTTAGCTCTTCATTTTTTTTTTAATTATGAAAACTCGTTCTTCCATGTTTGAATTTTGGTTTTGGTGGTGAATTAAAAAATTTGCCAAAACCAAATAATAAAATATGAATTAAGTATGATGTAAAATTTAATTTTAAAAAAATGAGAACAAAAGTTGGTTCTCCAAAGTCAGAAGTCAAGAGTAATTAGAGATGAAACGACGGCGTTTTGGTTTGGTAATTTTTTTGGGCTTGTGTGGGTCTAAGTGTATTTTGGGCTTTTAACTCTTGAGTTTAATGGTAATTTTATATGCTTATATTATATATATATATATATATATATATATATTGATATGATCTCCCTAATTTTTTTTTTCTTTTTCAATTGATACTCTTAATAAGTAGATAGATATCTTATTGAGATACTAAAAAAAAAAGGAATGTGTTGGTATTAAAATTATTATTTAGCTACTTTACTATCAATTATCTTTGTATAAACGCACAAATTCTAACGGTACGAACTTCAATGTCGATAGATGCGGACGTTTGCATAATATTTTTATTTGCATAATATTTTCAAAAAATAAAACTAATAAGTATTACATATGCAGCAGAATTACACATTAATACGTATATTTTGTAACAGAATAATTATTTATTTACAAATACACGAGACATGTAAATTAATTTATAATTATAAAATAGAAATTAATAAGTTTTTCTTCACATTTTTTTTTATTGATATTGGACTTGTTTCTATTCTTATCTAATTTGAAAGAGGATATATTGGGGGTGAGTCAATACTGTAGCAATCACAAGTCGATTCTTGAGTTATTTAAAATTATTTTTATAATCTATTGCTCAAATTTGATATTTTTTTTAATGAGTCAGATAATAAATATGCATTAATATGTGGTTCCAATGCATATGTAATATTTATTGGTTTCACTTGTCAGAAATATTGTACAAATGTCCGTACCCACCGACATTAGAGTTTCGCCTCTGACATGTAGTATCAGAGCGCACATTTTTTCAGAATCATCTTTTGTAACTTTTGAACTGTACGTATGAATATTTTGTACGGGGCGTTACACAAATAGTTATGGTATTACTTGTAATAATTATATTTCTTTTAATATGAAAAACCATTCATTAAATTTTTCTTGTAAAACATAAAATTCTTACTAAGAGATATTATAAATGTTTTACTCTGTCTTAACTTTCATATGGTCTTACATACAATATATATATATATATAGCACGTATTAACTCGTTGACTTTACGTTGATACAGTCTTATGTAGTAAGTATATGTATATATGTAGAGAAGATGGAATTGACTAATCTTAATCTATTGTAAACTATATATATATATATATATACATGTCGAGGCGTGTTGTTTGAATTCTTCTCATGTAGAACTCAAGGGGCAAAGCATTTAATTGAATGAATTTTCAAATTCAAACGTTGCGGTATTCTTCCTTTTTGTAGGTTTAATCAAAGTCAAATTAATAATTAATTTACAGAATTTGATTGTAATTAATAAAATTCTTTTATTTCGTTTCATTATTGACTTCAAAGATTAAAAAAATAAATAAATAAGTTCTCAATTCAGTACGACTTCAAAAAAAAAATATATATATATATATACATATATAATATAAAATATAAAATACAATGCTTACAAGTTTTATCATTGCATCATCATAATTAAAGTTTGTTGTATTTATCACAAGTTTTTGATACAATGTATTTTAAATCATTAATGCATATAATTATTAATTACTATTTAATTGAATAGTTGATACGGTTTATATTTTTATAAAAATATTATGAATTTGAATTGTGTCGTGTTCCCATTTATATTCTTATTTGAGAGTTACTTTTTATTGTATTATAATTAGTGTTTATATACCAGTCGTTTTTTTCACAAAAAAATTTAGATTCGAATCAGATTGTTATCCAATTTATATAATTATTTAGATAATATTTTCTGTTGTATTATGATTTTTTTTTTTTTTGAAAATGGCCAACTTCAATAAAACTAGTGCAATCAATGCATCAATTTCGGGAGGCAGTCTCTCCTAAATATGAAAGCAAGAATGATCGCGGGCTACTCTCGTCAGTTGGTGTGTCACTCGGTTACATTGCCTTCGGACCCAAAAAATAGATACATTGAGTTTGAGTTTCAGTAACATTTTACAATCTTCTGTGATAAAACCAAACTTATGGTGATTTTTTTTCCATAAAATCAATATCGTCTTCACCAGTTGGGTGTCGATCTCGATAATTCCTGAACCTTAGACATGTGATACTATGTACTGTAGTGATACTATGTATTGTAGTACACTATGGCATCTACACAATTCCAAATAGGGTGATCGACATCCTAAGATACTAACAGTGAATGCAATCTTAACAGATCTCGTCGATTCCCTAATAACTACTCCATATCCTTACTTGACTTCTATTTTAAATACTATCCAATATTCTATTAGTATTACGATTATTGTTTATGTATCGCGTTATTTGTTTTATGATAAATTGTAGATTTGATCAAGCTCTCGTTTGTGTCCTTATTTAGAAGTTATTTTCTATTATGTTATTATTAGTATTTATGCACCATGTCTTTTATTTTATAAAAAATTGTAGATTTGAATCGGATTGTATTTTTATTTGTGTATTTATTTAAAATTTATTTTTTATTATATTATACTAATGCATATATATATATATATATATATTTATTAATAAATATATAATTT